TGTGTCACTCTTAACAGAGCTGGGAGCAGTCACGCCAAACTGACACAAGAATTACTAAGTCATTTATTCACCGATCTTTATTTTTTTCCAGTTAACAAAATAGAAGATAATGCAAATTCTCGAACAAATACTCTTGATTGGCCCCTGCACGATGTCCCTAAGGCACGTCCCTGCCTCTAAGCGCTTAACCAAACGTGTGTCAATAGCCTGCGACCTTTGCCGACACCGACAGGAAAACCTGTAGTCAAAGGTTGCAAGCCGGCCGGGCGCCTGTGAGCCCAGCACTCTGGGGGGCCGAGGAGGGAGGCTCCCTTGAGATCAGCCTGGACAACATAGCGAGACTCCAACTCTACAAAAAGTGGGCCAAATGCAGTGGCTCACGCCTGTGATCCCAGCACTCTGGGAGGCCGAGGGTGGATGGATCGCTTGAGGTCAGGAGTTCGAGACCAGCCTGAGCAAGAGCGAGACCCCGTCTCTACTAAAAATAGAAAGAAATTAATCGGACAAGTAAAAATATATAGAAAAAATTACCCGGGCATGGTGGTGCATGCCTGTCGTCCCAGCTACTCGGGAGGCTGAGGCAGGAGGATCGCTTGAGGTCAGGAGTTGGAGGCTGCTGTGAGCGAGGCGGACGCCACAGCACTCACTCTAGCCCGGGCAAGAGAGTGAGACTCTGTCTCAAAAAAAAAAAAAAAAAAAGAAATTGCTAGACCTTTTCCAGATACACAGTCTAGGTTTCGGCCGGCCCCCACACCCCTTTTAAACGCAAACATTAGCAGTGGTACGTACTGTTCTTGTGTTTTGCCTGTTTCCTTGGAGATGCTTCCGGCTCGGTAGATACAGAACGTCCTCCTGCTTCCTCTCCACAGGAGGGAGGTGCTATAACTCATCCAGCCACCTGATGGGCATCTGGATGTTTCTGGGTTTTCTGAACTGGGCTTTGAAGGAAGAATAGGAGTTTTTGCCAGGCAATGAGCCCAGGGAACGCGGCCGCCCTTGCCGGAGCGTGAGCTTTCTGAGGGCAGGAGCAGCTCCTGTTCCACGTTCCCCATGGGGCTGACGTGGCCCTCGCAGGGTTGGGGACAGGGACCCCCGGGACTCTGCAGTATCCGGCACCGGTGGGTGAAGTTCAGGCCGCGACTCCGTCAGCAACCCTCGCTCTCCCCCAGGCCGCGGGCCGACCCCCCAGGACCGAGCTGGGCGGCTCACGCCCTGGAACTCAGTTTCTTCACCTGGAAAATGGGGACAAGCCGTTTCCTGGGCCTCGAGCGAGGGCGAGACGAGACGCGAGATCACCCGCAGGAGCGGTTAGCGCGGTGCCTGCCCACGGCACGGAGAGGGGCTTTGTCGCCGTCACCGCACGAGTGGCTGCCGGACCGTGAGCTCCTTGGGCGCCGGCCACGGGCAGAGCCAGGTCCCGGGACGGAGCCTGAGGCCACCGGGAAGCTCGGAGGCCGCAGCCCAGCTGAGTGACGTCCTCCCACGGCCCCGGGAGCCAGCCTGTCCCCGGCCCGGAGCGTCACCGAGGAAGCACCAGGAAGGCGGCGCCGTGGCCTGCCGCCGGGCTCGGTGTTAACAGGAAACTTCCAGCACGTTCCAGAGCAGCAGCCCCCGCCCGGCCCAGCACCGGGTCCTGCCGACGCCCACCGTGGTTGTCTCCAAACACCTGACGGCCAGGACGCCGCTGCCACCGGGAGGAACGTCCCCTCGGGGGACACCCAGGTCACCCGGCCGAGTCTTCGCCGCCCCCCGCGCTGCCCCCAGCCTCCCGCCTCACCGGCCTTTTCGGGAACAAAATGTCACCGAAGACCAAAATGCAAGTAAAAAACTGGCTTTATTTGTCGCTTAGTTCATCTCGGTTGTGCCATTTTGGCGTCCACAGTGACAGTCCCCTGGAAGCTGCGCTCGGTCCCCTGCCCCCGCCCACCGTGACCACCAGCCTCACAGGCCCCGAGGGACGGTCACGGCTGCGGGAGGAACTGTGGGGCTCGGCCCGAGGCCGGGGACTCCCCACCGACAGCCCCCCAGCCGGGGGACGGCCGCCCGCCCGCAGCGGCGCAGGGACAGGGCAGTGGGGAGCCGCGGGCGCCGGGTCGCGGACGCCGGGTCGGGACTGGGTCTAGACAAGGCCACGTGCGGTGGGCGGAGCCCTGGGGGGGGAGGGGCGGCCTGGTCTGCCGCTGCCGGGCTGGTGGCTTCGGGCCAGTCACCTCTCGTCCCTGGACCGGTCTGCGGCGGGGACAAAGTTGGCCGCCCGTGCTCGGGGTGGCGCCGTGCCGTGAAGGCCGCCGCGTGCCCGTCGGGTGGGTCTCTCCCTACGCTCGGGTCACCCCTGGTCCCGCCGCACTTAAAGCTCAACTCAAAACCTCTGGTCCCCTGAGCCTGGGGAGGACGCTGACCCCCGTCACCGCGCAGAGCTGGCTCTGGACGCGGACGCAGTCGCGACCCTCGTACCGAGCGCCGGAGCGACCCAGCGCAGAGACCCCCCCGAGTCCTCCCGGCCTCCTCCCTGCGGGCGACCACGTGGTGGCCCGGAGGTCGCGGCACCGGCCACCTACCTACTGGTGTTTGGTCGCAAGCACAGAAAGAGAACTCGACACACAAGTGGGGACGTGTCGGCCGGGAACGCGGGCTGTGGACGGGAGTCGCCGCCGTGACAACGACACGCGGCCACCGCCGCCACGGTCCTCTGCGCAGACGGCTGCCCGGCTCGGCCCGGTCGAGCTGCCGGAGCTCGAGACCCCCGACCGCGCACTGGCGCGGGACGCAGGGGACAGGCGACAGCCCGCGGCGACGCGCAGACTCACGGCCTGGCGTGGGGAGCCGCCAGGCACAGGCCGCAGAATCCGCAGCCGGGCGCAGACTGTCTCGCAGAGAGGTGGCTCTTCTTGGCCGGAGTCAGCCTGGTTCTGTGCGTCTACTTGCAAAACGGGGGGGGGGGAGGTGACGTCTGACACAACGGCCCGGAGCCAGGGTCCCGCCCCATCGTGCAGGGGACAGCCACCAAGGAGCCACGTGCCCGTGTCCCGGCCCACGGCCACACGCAACGCAGACGGCGCGGTTTGTGCTTCCACCAGAGTGAGGGACCCGCCGGGCGCGGGGACGGCCGAGGCTGCCGCGGCCACACGGCGCTGACACGGTGCGCAGCTCACGACAGAGGTGGCGTGGGACGCTCGGGGACGGCCGATCGCCGGCCAGCCCCCGCTCTCTGGCGCTCGGCGGCGGTGAAACCCACACGGTTCTCGCCGCCGACGCCGGGGGGGAGAAGCGGATTCTGAAACCGGGCAGCGTCCGGCAAGGGACGCGGCGGAAGGAGGGGACACGGGGCCGGGGGAGCCGTGGATCGCGAGTCTGCGCCACCGCGGCAGCGACGGTGCCCCGCGCCGGGCGGTCCGGGAACAGGTGCCCGCGCCCGGCCCCTCGCCCGGCTCAGAAGAGCAAGGCGCCCACGCTGCCGACCTCGCTCTGCTCCTTCACGAAGATCTCGAAGTACTGGTAGATGATGGTCACGGCCAGCAGGATGCCGGTCCCCGACCCGATGGCGCCCAGGAAGTCCGCCAGCACCGAGAGCGCCCCGATGCACAGCCCGCCGAAGGCCGCGGCCGTGGGGATGTACCTGCGGGAGGCCACCGTCAGCTGGGGCCGCCGCCGCCGCCGCCGGGGCCCGCGACCCGACACCCGGGCCCCGGCGCCGTCCCCGAGTGACGGCCGGCGACGCGCGCCACGCCGGGGCCGCGCCGTCCAGGTGGGTGACCGCGCCGGGCACACGTGACCGCGTGGACGAGAGCAGCCCGCGTCGCGCAGGAGCGTGGAGGTTGGCCTCGGAAGCGACAGAAAACAGCTCGCCGCGCCTCCGTCTTAACGCGACTCGCGCGCGGTGCCGCGACTTTGTCTTACGTGACTCGCCGCGTCCGATCAAACAGATCGAAGCTCACCTCACCTGTTTCCTTTCACTTTCTCCTGTGGCTTCTAGAAATTTAAAAAACCGTCTCTATGACCCGCGTTTCTACGGCACGGCGCCGGCGACGCAGCGCTCTGGCGTCGAGAGAACGAACCGGACCGGCCGCTCTCCCCGCCGGGGACGGGAAAGCCACCAGGAACTCGGATGCTGGCTTTTTGGTGGCTGCTTGCTCAGCTGCCGGCAGGACCACCTGGCCTGCGGCTGTCTGTCTGTCCGTACCTGTGGCTGCCTCTGAGCGACAGCGAGGACGTGAGCTGTTGTGACAGAGGCCACGTGGCCTGAAACCCCCGTGACGCGGCCCTGCAGACCGTCCCAGGTCACCCGGACTCGACTCCGCCCCGCCCAGCTGTTCCCACGTCCTGGGGCCGCTTTCTCTCCCGTCTCCCTCCTCTGTCCCCAAGGTGGTGGCCGCGTCTGGCCCAAACCGTCACGGCAGCCTGGCAGGGTCTCGCTGACCAGCTCTGACCCTGGTCCCCTGAGTCAGACACGCCGGCCCCCTGCGTGCGCGGCCACCTGGGCCGGGACGCCAGCACCCGGCGGCTCTGAGCTCGCGGGGTGGCCTCCGTCCCGGGCGCCCCGTTCAGCGCCTGCGGCCACCGCTCTCGGGACACACCCGGTGGCCACGGGTATCCGTCCGCTCACCTTACGCCGAGGAGGGGCCGTGAGCGTCTACGTCTCTGTCTCTGGCGTCCAGAGCTTAGCAAGCCCGTGACCACGTAAGCGCGCAGGGACCCTTCCCGTCCTACGACCGCGGGGACCCGGGCCCGGCACTCACCGGTTGAGCTCGTGGACCATGGACGTCTCCCGGTGGCCTCTCATCACCATCTGCTGCTCCTTGAGCTGCTTGGCGACCTGCGCGACAGGCGGGGGGGGGACACACGCTCACTTCGGGCTGGACGCTCCCGGGGCGCTAAGAGCGGCTTTGCGTTTCCTTCTCCTGCGCGAACAATCCGCGCGCAGACAGCTCTGGAACCGCCGTAGTAAGGAAGCCTCGGAACGTTCTCATCTCACACTTTGGCTTCGGACTCTCAGACCCGGCACGGACGCATCGCCGGGCTCCGTCCGGCAGCCCTCGGCCACCCTGAGCCACCACGGAGGACGGTGGCCCATCTGTGTGCGTCACACAGCGCCGTTCACGAAGAGGCGGTGAGTCCACGCGCCTCACGCCAGTGACGCTTCAACCGTCCTTCTAGAACTCGCTACTCACGTCTTTGGCGGAGGAGCCCGAGACCTCGATCCACGTCTTGGAGAAGAACGCGCAGGAGCCCAGCATGAACACGATGTACACGAGCGCGTGCACGGGGTCCTCCAGCACCGAGCCGAACGACTCCGGCGGAGACAGGTAGTAGCAAAGGCCACCCACCGGGTAAGCGCGCGCCGGGCCCCCGGAGGAAGTGTCCTGGGAAGAGGAAACAGAAGACCTGTGGAGGCGGCCTCACCGCGCCCCGGCGACGAGAAAACCGTTCTGAGCAGACGAAGGAACAGAATTTTACTTGAGTGCCCACGGGCAGCTTTCTTACCGAAATGACAATTTTTTTTTTTTGTTTGGGGACAGAGTCTCACTGTGTCGCCTGGGCTAGAGTGCCCTGTGTCAGTCTCGCTCACAGCAACCTCCAACTCCTGGGCTCATGCGATCCTCCTGCCTCAGCCTCCCCAGTAGCTGGGACTACAGGCATGCACTACCGTGCCCGGCTAGTTTTTCTCATTTTCTGTAGAAGTGGGGTCTCGCTATGTTGCCCGGGCTGGTCTTGAA